CTTAATACTTAGCAACAAATTTCAAGTAGGTTATTTAAAAATGTAAGTTGTTTTTGTTGAAGTGTATTGACAGTGTGATACTTCACAAGGATTCTTGGCCCCAGATAACAAAAGTGAATTTGAGCCAGTTAAATAGCAGTGTCTTCTATGTAAGAAATTGTTGAGGGGGTTTTCAGAGGGTTTACAAGTTTGAAAGAAACAAATTGGCCATTTTGATTTAAGCTTGTGTACAGCTCTGTTATCTTCTAGACCTTCCTACTGGCTGTATTTAAATATTGGCAAAATTTTTGTTTGATTGAGTCCCTTGGTACAGTTTATATGAGCTTTAAAAAGATACCGTGGTTAGCGTCAGCAACAGAGTGGCAATGTTTATAAATGTATTTGTTTGGAAACAGTGAAATCAAACCATTGCTTTGTTTACTGTTGTGAACAGTTGACTCAAATTCATCTTATGCATCCTTTAAAAGTGTTCTGCAGTTTTACAGAACAAAACCAGCTACACCTATCTGAATTCAGAGTAGTGCATATTTTATCATAACCACTTAAGGTGATAGTCCAGGTGTGTGATTTTTAACAGGTCTTCCTTTTACAGCTTTAATTGGAAAACTTATTTGTATATAAATGAACTTCAGTTTTCTAAGAAATATGCTAATTTTTTGTGGGTAATTGGAAGAGAACTTGAGGTGGTGACGTACAAGGGGGAACGCTTCTGAAAATGTGTCAAATTATGCGGGGTTAATCATAGGCAATTTTTCTTAAAAGCGGTTTGTCCATTGTGTGTATATATAAACTTCACAGCAACATTATCCAGCTGTTAGTGAGCAATTACAGCTGTCAGATTGAGACCCTTTCTTGGTAGATGCACATTTAAATACACCATGTCTCATAATACATAAAGAATAGTCCGTGAAAGTGCTGCTGTTTGATCTTTTGCTTTGACTCGCAGTCCTGTTCCTCTCCGCTCCTTTTTGTGGTTGGATGTGTGAAAGGTGTTACTTCTATACTCATAATCTGTTGAGTTACAGATTCTGCGTTTGCTTATAGAGACCTCTCTTTCTTTCAGAACAAGATGCTTCTGCTTATTTTGTTGCTCCGAAAAGTTGCTTCAGTGTTTTAAAGTAAATAAACCAGCCTGCCTTTCTTTTTTGGAGCAGCCTAAGAGAGGGAGGGAGGGGGGAGCTCTTTTGCCTCGCAAGTCTTGCTGAAGGCTTAAGTTGACACCTAAGCTCCCTTTTCCCTGTGAATACAGAAGCAGTTAGCTTTGTTCGAAAATCCGTACACATGAGCAAAACAAGGTAAGGTGGTAACACTGATTTGATCAGTATAATTACATAAGGTTTCTGCCAGCACAGATGCCAGCACCATCCCAGCAAAAGATCTGTAGTGTAGACTGGTCTAAATCAGAGTCTGGCCTGTTGACGGGGAAGGGCTTGATTGTTTAATGAAATGGAGCTCCGTATTGTTCCTTGTTTGAGCCAAAGGAAAAATAACTTCTGGACAGAGTGAATAATTAAATTGAGGGGACTATAATATATCCTGTCATAAAAATGTTATTTGAGGACTTCATTGTTTCGTCCCAATTTCTGTGTGGCATTTTGTGTTTTCCCATGCACCTAAAAGGAAGAATGTTCTTAAAAGTTGAAACAAAGCAAAAGAAAAATTTGTGATTGTTGTAGGTGACCTTTTCTGACTGACTTTATTTAGTAAAAAGGTAGTCTGATAATGTTTTGATTTTTCTTTGTTACTTGACTTATCAGAATTTAATATATTCCCCTTTAGTGTACTGAGTTACTCTACTAGTCTGTCCAGAAGGTATTTAGCACACTGTATAAACTGATCAATTGGAACTTGCTTGAAGTTTTGTGGGTTTTAATTTCTTGTCTGCTCATGCTTTTTGGACGTAAAGGCATGCACCTGCACTTCACAGTCACTGTTGTGCTATTTCTCTGTGAGGGAGGTACTACATGATGCAACTTCTCCTCTGTGAAGAATCTAAAATAACAAGTTAACTTGAAGACAGAGTGGCAAAGAAGTAATTCTGGAAAAAAGTAACAAGCTTCAAACTGCTCAGTGGCTGGATGATGATCCTGTATCACCAGTAAATCAGATGGTTCTGGTGTCCCTGGGGTGGGGTGCAGTTGGGGGTCAGACCAAGACCTAAAAGTAAAAAAAACCTGATACATGAAAGTGCTAAATTTCCTCATCTAGCTGTGCCGTAGTGGGTGTTGGCAGAGCTATCAAAGAAGAGAAATTGCGTTGCTCCATAGAGCCTTTTTATATTCTTTACTTCATAATAACCCGAGGCCTCGTGTTCAGAGGTAGTGAGCTCATATCTCAGAGGCTTTCGAAGCTGCAGATACTCAGTCTCTCTAAGAATTATGTCTGAAAGCATCTAGCTTTTTAAGGGGCACGGAGAATAATTGCAACTAAAAACCTAATCTCATGATACAGATGGAAGCTTTTCTGTAACACGGTATGTGCTATTGCGTTTCATAAATAGTATCTCAGTATTTGTTTAGATTGTTTTTGCAACCAGCTGCTTTTCAACTTGAGCAGCGCAGCAATCTCCTTTCCTAGTCTTAATGTCAGTAAAACAGATGATGCTTTGTTTTCTTGCCCCATCCTAAATGTGGGTTGGGATTTGTTTGCAATGGGAACTACTGGGTTTTTACAACCCTGGGCAGGTAAGAGACCATTTACAGTTACAGATCCCTCTCGGGCTTTATCACACATTGTATGCTGATCTAGCTTTTGATTGAAAGCATTACCTACTGAAAACGTACCAACTTCTGCTCAGGTAGAACTTATTCTCAAGCTTGTATTGGGTGTTGAAGTATCGGGACAGCCACCTTCTGGTTGTCCTTCGTGGCACAAGTGAAACAGCTCATGGTGGTTCTGTTGGTGGCAGTTGGCAGGTGCACAGATGGTGTGCTGCTTCCTTCTCTTTTCTGAAAACCATGTTCAACTGTCTTAAGTTCCTAACTAGGAAATGTTAAGATCTCAGAAAACTCTCTACTGTTTATAGAGAGAATAAGCTTATTAAGAAATGTTAAAGTAATTAAAAAACTTATTTTGGGAATTGGGGAAAAAAACCTTGACCAAATGGAGTAGATAAATCTAGCAAATAGTGTACTCATATAGGAGGTATTTTGGCAAAGCTTTAGTTTGTTTATGGAGTAGAGAAGCTGTTTTTCCTCCAAGTTTCTGAAAATTTGTCTTTATGAAGTCACCTTTAGTAAAAGGCATACTGAGTACTGTGTTCAGCTCTGGGGCCCCCAACATAAGAAGACCTGTTGGAGTAAGTCCAGAGGAGGGTCACGGAGATGGTCAGAGGACTGGAGCGCCTCTCCTATGAAGACAGGCTGAGAGAGTTGGCATTGTTTAGCCTGGAGAAGAGAAGGCTCCGGGGAGACCTTATTGCAGCCTTCCAGTGCCTGAAAGGGGCTTACAAGAAAGCTGGAGAGGGACTTTTTACAAGGGCATGTAGTGATATGACAAGGGGTAATGGCTTTAAACCGAAAGAGGGTAGATTTAGATTAGATATAAAGAAGAAATTCTTCACTATGAGGGTGGTGACGCACTGGAACAGGTTGCCTAGAGAAGTTGTGGATGCCCCATCCCTGGAAGTGTTCAAGGCCAGGTTGGATGGGGCTTTGAGCAACCTGGTCTAGTGGAAGGTGTCCCTGACCATGGCAAGGGGGTTGGAACTAGATGATCTTTAAGGTCTCTTCCAACCCAAACCATTCTGGCATTCTATGAAAAATCAAGTTGACTTTATATTCTCATATATATATATATGTATTTTCTACTTATTTTATTACAGATGTGGGGACCCTAGTATGATCTCGCTTTTTTTTCCCATTATGTATGGACATGGACTTTTATGAGTGAACGGTGGAGGGGAAGCAGTAGGAAGTCTAATTGCCTTCTCAGCACATTCTATAGTCTGACACGGTTTTATGACGTATAGGTGGGAGTGAAGTGCTCTGCAGGCTGTTCAAACAAGCAATATTAGAACCCGAGCTTTATGAGAAAGCTTTGTGTTCCTGATTGCTCATCTGCTTTCATGCACCATAAATATGGATCACTGCTGAAAAGGATACTCCTGTCCTTTCTTCTGTCTTGGCCATGCGATAGCCCCTCATTCATGCAGCCACCTGATCTGGTGAATAGATCAGAGTTGAGCTGTTGGAAAAAACCTATGTTGCCTGCTGGAATCCACAGAAGGGAGATAGTAACAATAAGGGTGACAAATTTAAGTGGACGTTTAACTATGCCTTGGTGGAGCAAGGTGTGTGTGAAGGTATTTTAGTGAAGAATGTACTAAGTCATAAAACATTACCTAATTGGAGAACAGGCATAAACTAATTTTTAGTTTGATGCGTCCAGTTTTGAATTTAATCCTGTTGTGTAACTTCTCTTTTGAGTTTTTGTTTACTAGATTCTGGGTGTTTTTGTTAGCCAAGAGAGTTGCAATATGATGAATGAGAATTGTCAGTCAATTGGTATGACAAATTTGTATTTTAAACAGTTTTGTATGCTTAAAAATAGCACATAATGAGTCTTATATGTTGGGTAACGATTCTGTGGTTAAGGGAGGAAATAGACTGTATAAATTTTTCTGTTTGTCCTTTACCTACCTGCCTCACCCTTTCCCTCTATTATGCCCTCTACACAAACTGGAGGGGATCAAAGCTTTTTTTTTTCCTTCTTCATCCTGTTTCAGATTCCAATAAGAGTGTTTATAGATGTTTTGGTGTGAATTTGACATTGCTTGGATCTAGTTCTTTTACTTCAGCAGATTGATCACTTTTGTGGCAACTGGTTCTTTATAAATACTGGTTTGTTTTAACCACTTTATATGTTAGTCTCAGCAGGTCATGACTGAGTTTAAACAAGTAAATTGGGATCAGAATAGGTGTGGCATTTAATAATTAACTTTCTGGTTACTCAGGTCCAGTAGGAAACCTATAATGAGTCTGTTTTCATTTTGTTTACAGGAATAGTTATCTGCTTAGTCTCATCCTTCATATTTGGCAATCTGAGGAAAAGGTCTGAGCCAGCATGAAGACAGAATCCCCTCTTCGTTAGAGAAAAAGTGAGTTGGAATTGGATTGGAAGCTGGATTTGTAGAATGAAAATACGATGTTAGCGTGTCAACACACACAGCTTGTGCTTGCTTTCAAGTGGTATTTTAACTTCGTAATACTACTGTTATGAGTGATGTCCAGTCAAGGCCTAGTCTTGGTTAAGCACATGTATAAAATTTTAAAATGTATGCATTTTATGTAAGCTCCTACACGTACTTTTCCCAAAGAACTGCTTACTCGTTGCATAACTGCCGACCTGATACACTCCTTCCTTCCAAATCCTGTGAGGTCTTGCAACAGATGTCGCAGGATCTAGACTTTGTGTTTCTTTTCTTGTACTGCTGTAGTCATACTGAGTTTTATTTCAATAATTTAATATTTGTCACTTGTTTCTGTAGCTGTATTGGTCTCTTCCCCACTATTCTCAGTGCTTAATGTGTATCTGTTTTCTGAATTTGTTTTGGAAGGCTCTGTTCAAATTTAAGAAATTCCGGAAATGCAGGACTGAGTTTTCATTTCTGCACTAGGAAGTCCTGAATTCTGCATTTAAAATGCAGTTAGCTCAAGTCTTATCCTTTTCGTAGTGGTTTTTCTCCCCCTAAATGTTCTTACAGTATCAAGAAAAAAAGATTGCCTGTTTGCTCAGCCTGATTTTTATATTTGATGCAGTACACATCAACTGGGTTAAATCTCATTTACTTTTTTTTTTTGAAACAGAGCTCCTATGCAACTGTTGTGTACTAATGATGTATTCTGATTACTTAGCTTTCTGCCTGACGCAGTTCATTTCAAGAAGTGCACGATGACAGAGCGTGGAATTAAATGGGCTTGTGAGTATTGTACATATGAAAATTGGCCATCTGCAATCAAATGTACCATGTGTCGTGCTCAGAGACCTAGTGGAACAATTATCACAGAAGATCCATTTAAAAGTGGTTCAAGTGATATTGGTAGAGACTGGGATCCTACGAGCACTGAAGGAGGGAGTAGTCCTTTGATATGTCCAGATTCTAGTGCAAGACCAAGGGTTAAATCATCTTACAGTATGGAAAGTGCAAATAAATGGTCGTGCCACATGTGCACATACTTGAACTGGCCAAGAGCGATAAGGTGTACTCAGTGCTTGTCTCAACGTAGGACCAGGAGTCCCACAGAGTCTCCTCAGTCTTCAGGCTCTGGTTCAAGACCAGTCCCTCTTTCTGTTGATCCATGTGAGGAATATAATGACAGAAATAAACTGAACACAAGGGCTCAGCACTGGACTTGTTCTGTTTGTACATACGAAAACTGGGCGAAGGCCAGGAAATGTGTTGTATGTGATCATCCCAGACCTAACAACATAGAAGCAATAGAACTGGCAGACACAGAAGAGGCTTCTTCAATCATAAATGAGCAAGACAGAGCTCGATGGAGAGGAAGCTGTAGTAGTGGTAATAGCCAAAGAAGATCTCCACCTACAACCAAACGTGAATCTGATGTGAAAATGGACTTCCAAAGAATTGAATTGGCTGGAGCTGTGGGCAGCAAGGAAGAACTTGAAGTTGACTTCAAAAAACTAAAGCAAATAAAAAATAGAATGAAAAAGACCGACTGGCTGTTTCTAAATGCTTGTGTTGGTAAGTCGTTTGCTGCTACCTTATACTGTTATGCCTGTGGTTAGGTGTTTTGGGAGAATGAAGAGTTAAAACATAAACTTGACATTTGATTTCGAAGCAGCTTTTTTTTAATCCCTGCATTTTAATTTTAAAAAGTAAACCAAGCGTAGATGTTCCTGAAATAGCACCTGCTAAGAGAGGGTACAGATTCATCCACAATCTGAACAGGGTTAGACATGTTTCCCAACTATGCTTGGACTTGTTTGACCTTTTGTAGAAATGGATATCCTTGTAACCAAATCCTGTTGTTCGTTGTAGTTGTCGAAAGGTGGAAGAATTACAAAACCAGTCTACAGAACAATGTAATGCATATAGTACTGTAAAAAATGCCATTACTGGATAATTAAAATTACTCTTCTTTTTGCTATGGCAAGATATGCTAGTAGAATCAGCAGCTGCAGCTTGGGAGTATTTGTAAACAGTGTGGAGCTTGCAACAGTACAAGATGCTCTGTCAGATGTTAAAAATAACACCAAAATATGTAGCTCCAAGAAACTGCATGTGTAATACTGACCTTGAAAGTAATAATGTTGTATTAATACAGATACTGTGTTGTAAATGTTTACAGGCTTTCTGAAAGTATTTTTGTAGTCAACTGCTTCAAAAAATTCAAATACCAATTTTGTTTTGTATTTTAGTGCTTTCCTAAGGAAATTCTGGATAATTCTCCCAATGCTGTTAAAGAACAGAGGCATGTGAGAGCAGGGTTTTCTTCAGTTATTGACCTTGTGAGTTAAATTTTGTGCTGTAACTTCCCAGAAGCAGATATCTTGTGCCCTAGCATTCAAGCAGGTTAAACACTTGAAATACGCAACTATTTTTAGAGTAAAACACTTCATTTGAAACTCTAGCGCTACTAGTATGTCTCATACTATTCCTTAATGTTTCATGAAGTCACTTCATGGTTGTTATAATCGGAAAAACTAATTTGTGGAGCTGCTTTATTTAATATATTTGATCAGGTGTAAATGTTCTTACGGGTATCATGAGTTTGGTTTCTCTGAGCTAATAAATATTCCAGTTTATTTTAGTTGGACAAGCACATTTCCTTTTTTGAGAATAGTTAGATGCCTCAATATTTCCTGATACCTTCAGCTCCTTACATGCTAGCAGGTGCACAGTGCTTTTTTCTTCTGAAATAAAGCAATTGAAATTCTGGATGGTATTTTGTAAGCTATTGAATACCCAAGATCAATTGTTGGAGGTTGTTCCTGTGCCTTATAAGCGTCTATCTTGCATTCTGATAGCAATTGTATTAAATATTAGGGTTTTTTTCCCCTCTGCTTTTTGAAAAGTGAATTTTTTTGACTATTCCAGTGTTACTTAAAATATTTCACGCTTTCAGATTTAATCGGTGTGGGAATGGTTGTGTTTATATTTAAGAATGTGAGTTTTGCAAGTGTTTAATGTTGCTTGTGACTATACAATTGCACATGACTCAAAACTATGTTCATAGAAATTTTGTAAGGCAATAATGATTTGGTTCTTTTCAAATGAAAATAGTATGAAGGTATCTTGAAGGGATCTTGATGAGAAAGCCAGAATGCAAATGGAGTTGTATGCTGATTTTTACTAGTGTTCTGCTGAAAGATTTCATGGATTCCTTTCTGTAACTTAAAAACTTACTATACTTTAACTTTTTAACTGAGGGGAAAAAACCAGCAACTAAAGCTGTTAATTATCAGTCCTTCATTTCAGAATTGCATTTTGTGTATCACAGATGTAATATTTTTCCAAATACTTCTTGTAGTAGGAGTAACCTTGGGAAGATTGATGAAAGCTTCATAGATTCTTTTGTGATTGTCTCTGGATGTTTTGCAGAGCATATCTATATTGGAAAGGTATACCAGTTTAACTGGTAATTTTAAAAGCAATAAGCCACGTTTGTGCTGGTTATTTTGTTGTCTTAGTGTGACATACTTAAAACAATTTAACTGTCAATGGAACAATTTTGCCTGAAGCATATGTTCTTATTGAAATTAACTGAGTTATTGTGACTTAGTCAGTTACTGTTTGTTAGCCAGCTGGAGCTCTTGTGAACTTCTAGCTGAGCTGAACACTTGTCAATCCTTAGCCAAACACAATTATAAAATGGGACAAGTTCATGTTAAATGTCAAGAAAGTTTGTGAAAATTGATGGAGTAAGAGTTGGTATGTAGTCTGTTACCATAGTCTGGCTGACAAGTGGTGGCTTGTTAGGCTTCGGTAACTTCAGACTGCACACCTCCGAGTTTAAGCTCAATCAGTTGTGGAGGGTCCATTTGCTTTGAGTCTGTCTAATGTGGGAGAGATGTATCAGTTTAAAGTTTTTGGATGTACAAAGTGTAGCTTTCCCTGAAGTTAAAGATTAGAGGAGTAGGAGTAGTTCTTGGCAGACTTGGTTATTTTCTTTTCTCTTAGAAGACACTATCTTTCATCTTCGCATCTCAACTCTAGTTAAAATTCTTTTTACTAGATTTTAAATTTAATGTCAAGTTTCATTAAAAACATGTATCAGACTGCTTTTTTTCCACATTTGTTCTTTTTAGCTGAAGCATGAAGATACTCTGTTGTGTGAATTTAGAAAAGCACCTGTGTGTGTGTGTTCGTGTGTTTTTTTTGTTTTGTTGGAGACATACATTAATGCTCTACCCACCTCAGTAAATAAATACGCCATCAAGGCTTCTATTCCTTGCAAATGTAGGCTGTACAAAATGTGATGAGTGCAACTCTTGCATTTCAGCATGAATAGTTTCCTTAATGGAGGGTATTCTTTCTGAATCAGGAGGATTAGTGGCATTCCCTCTTTCAAACTGCAAATAAATGTACTTGAATGTTATTTTTGTTATTGACTTGTTTTTTGCAGCAGTGGATATATCTGTCAAATGATTCTTTCTCAAAAGGATGAGATTATAGAACTGATTCATTTGGTCAAAATTTATTAAAATCAAAGCAGAACATCTAGTAATTATGGCTGTTGAATAACATCACTTGCTACAAATGCCAGTGAGTTACAGTGAGAAATTACAAATGGCTTCTGCAAGGGCACCAATGCTTTCTACTGTACTGGCCTAGTAAAAGGTTAATGTGAAGTCCAAGATGACTCTCAGTTCTTGGGCGGAGGAAGCTAATGTATATTTAAAACTAAGCTCTTTTATATAACTCATGGTAACTATGCTAAAGAGACTGTAAGAGAGGTTTGGTGGCCTGTGGGGCTTAGGGAATCTGATGTGTAAGCAGAGTGGTACTGCCATGGTGCCTGGTGAAGCTGGCTACAGCTGGCTGTGGATTTAAGTAGTACAAATGGATGAAGATGGTCATGACTATAAAACCTTTCTAGCATTCAGAGTTTGCTTAGGGCATATACTTCAGCACTTGCTGAAGCTTCCCCTCTCCTAGCACTTCAGGTTTTACAGTGGTACTAGCGGAGTGTGGTTGCTGCAGGGCACTGCTGGGGATTCTTGGGTTGTGTCTTTAACTCCTGAGCTTGAACTGTGGCCCACAGATTAAAAGTAAACTGCATTTCTTCTCCTTTTCATTTCTCTTCCAATCCTGCTTATTAACTGCTGCAAGAGAGTTTGCTCTTCTCTTTCAGTTCAGGTCAGTAAGGTAGCTACTACCATCATGGGCCAGACTTCCCCTGCTGGGGATGGTGGCTCCAAAACCAAGTAGACATGCATTCGTCTTAGCTGTGTGAAACAAACAACTAGGAGTGTGTTTCTTAAATCCAAAATACTTAGAGCAATCTGTAATGAATCTTGTTTTGCAGTACATCCTTAAAAGGACTGTTGGTTCATTCCTAGTATTCCTGCACATGTCTGCTTAGTTTTTCCTTTGTCGACTACTTTATCTCTCTTACAGGTTTTTTTTTTTCCCCCTCTGTCCTTTTCTCCCTTCAGTTTTCTGGAATAGTGCCAAATGTGTTACCCAAACATTCACAAACCCTGTGGGAAAGGAGAGTCGTTCTGTCCAGATTTAGGTATGAAGTTGGCTGGGCAGTGTCCCAGACTGCTCTGCAGCTACAGGAGAGATGGAGGCCACCTCCTGATCCGTGTCTCACAGAGCATGTGGCTCTTCACTGACAATAAAGCGGTCTGAAGGGACTGACATACCAAGGTGCTTTCAGCTGGCACTGCCACCCAAAGTAGTCCTCCTAGCTGCTTATTTCTGTCCTCCTCCTGGCATATTTGCATGCCAATGTACAATGAAATGCGTCTGGAAACAAATCTTGCTAAAAATGAAGCTTGATCAGCTTGATTAGGGGATATTTTTGTTGGAGGTGCGGTGGTTGCTTTGTTTGTTTTGCTCTTTTAGTAAACCCAGACTGGTTTCCTCATCACATCCATGGTACAGCTAACCTTGCTGGGGTTGTTTATGCTGTAATAAGGGAGTGGGAAGTGTATGGGTGGGAACAAGCTGCTGGAGGCGGGGAAGGGTCATGCACTGTTCCTTGCTAGTGTCAGTTTAGGCTAGCTTGAACTGTTTGGGGAACTATAGTGTGAATTAGTCACTGACAGGTGATTACCTGCCACGCTGGCCTTGGCTAAATATGGCAAACAGTACCTGTTGGGATGGTGGGGGGAAGAGTCTCTGGTGTGAGCTGTACAGCCTGGCTTCCTTCCCCCATTCCTTTGTGATACTGAGAAGCATGACTTGGCATACTTGTCTGCTGTGCCAGGTAACAATGATGTAAGCTTACAACTTTCACCTGGATAAGAAATCTTGTATTGTCGTCTGTCCTATACTTATATTCCGTCATAACTGCTTTACATTTGTGTGTGTGTATATCTTTCAGAGTAGGTAAAACGCTGCACGCCTTACTCATTGGTAGAAAATCTTAACTCCTGAAACACGCTTTTATTTTGGTCTCTTGATTTCTTTTTTTAAACGCTCAGTGATATTTTATGCTAAAAATAATTGGATAAATGATCAAGTTAAAAATAGTTATTTAAACTTGCCTTGGAAGCACTGATGGTTAACTT